CTTTATCATGTTACCTCAGACATTATTTTCATTGTTCACTTGCACCCAGCCTCTCACTGGTTAGCAACGTGTACAGTAACATTACCTCTGAGATCACTGCATTTGCCAGGAACAAATAATCAGAATAATTAGCGACGACCCACACTCAATTCAGGAATCAATGGACTAACGGAAAGCCTGTTGCAAAAATAGTCAGAGGAAGAGCGGGTGTCTCCGGGGCAGATAGACGATACCATTTGAGCGCAGGATATTTTGATGACAAAGGGAGTTTATTAAGATCACATCTTTATTTTATCTTTATAGCGGAGATATCCAAAACTTATCAATTAGAGGATTACCAGGATGGCCACCATAGGAGGCATTGCAAAACGTCTAGATTCTCTTATTTTTCAATCTGCCATTTAAAATATACTATCGCTGGAGCCAGAATGGCTGCAAATTCAATTATATTGCAACGCTTGAAACCAGTTGATGGAAAATCTGCCTCAAACGATCCGCTCAACATTTGGAATATTTATTTACTGACGCTTGTTTGGTCGGGTGGCAAAACAACACGAAATATCTCTTTCAATATTCAGCGTGTTCCAGAGGGTGGCAAAGGGTTTTTGCGTGATCGCCCCAAAATTAGCAGCGGAGTTTGCGGATTGTGTGGGTGTTAATAAAGTGCAAGACGGAGTTACGCTATTGTAGAAAGTATAGCAACAGAAAATACGTGAATTATTTAATTAACCAAAAATCCATAAAATCCTTCATCGAGCCAAATTTTGCTTGTTAGAGACTAGGATAGGTCAATTGGACAGCATTATGGAGAAAAGAGAAAGGTTTGGAAAAAATGTGCTTCTCTTTAAACGAAAAACCTTCGTTGATCCCTTGGAGAGCCAAGGTACTGAGTTCAAAGTTAAATTTCGGTTCGGAATTGTCTGGTCTTTCAGTGTCTTCTGACGTTGCAGTCCATCAGGCACTACATATCAGACTTTATAAATTTAGTGTATCTTTAATTTTACCCTCAAAAATTCAAGGCAATGTCAAGATCAAACAAAACAAGAGTAAGAGAACAAGCTCGAGCTGTCTTAGCTCCCCCTTGCGATCGCGCCTCTTTAATATCCTGTAAACGTTTGTTGGCAGACTAAAACTAAACACGTAAAAATAGATCGACCTATTTGCTTTTGCTTTAAATGACGAACTTTATCTTCGATTATCTGCAAGGTTATAATTTCAACTTACTGATTCA